AGAGTGGCGAGCAGCAGCAGAGCAGTCATGACCACCAGACGCCCTCCACCTCTTCCTCCTCAGCAGCCGCCACGAACCACCAGTACACCGACGGAGAGCTGCACCCCTTCTCCGACAGCGAGGTCGGCCACATTGTGCACCACATCTACAAGAAGCAGGAGTCGATTGACCCGTACGACTGCAAGTCAGACTCGGAGTATGAGATCTTCAAGGCGAATACGCAGACCAGCGCGGAGAAGGCCGGCGTGGCGGAGCACGACAACATCAGCTGGGACTGGGGAGAGCTGCCCAATGTGAGCAGTGGATGTGCGGCGGCGGCGGCGGCGGCTGCTGTGGCTGCACATCAGAAGGACTCTCTGGCGAACGGCAATGGTGCCAAGATGGAGGTGGTGGTGGGCGGAAGCACCCACACCCAGCATGCGGAGAACAAACGGTCCACCTCGCCGCGCTCTTCAATGCTCGGCGGCATGCTCGGCTTTATCAAGGGCGGCGAGACGGCGGTGGCGCCGATGAGCCCTGGCACCGGTAGCAGCACTGCTGTCCCCAGCAATGGCTACCACCCTCACTATCCTCAGCACCAGAACCACCATCCGAACAACGACGAGGACAAGGGCATCTACCTGGACGACCTCGACCCGAACGACATGAACCCCGAGGTGGCGGCCAAGTACTTTCCCAAGTTTAGCCCCAACCCCAACTCCAACAGCAGCTCTTCTCACTTTCTAACTCAGCCGGCCAACCGGAGCAGCCACACCAGCGACGAGGACGTCGAGTCGGGCACCGGGCCCTCGCTGTCCAACTCGCCGCACTCCACCGAGTACAACTACCCCACCACCATCAGCACTCACCGAGTACCCTCCACCTCTGACTTTGCCTCCGAGTACTCCCAACTCCTCAACTCGAACGACCTCTCTCTCCTCTCCACCTTTGACCTGTCGACGCTGAGCAAGGTCTACCACGACATGTCCATGTCGCTGTGCGGCGGCATCGAAAACCTGGTGGAGAACCCCGGCGACACTGAGCACTTTCTCCAGTCGATTATCTCCTTTGACGACTTTAGCGAGAACCCGCTGGCCATCCTCAACGACCCCAACCTGGTGGTGCGCATGGGCGGGCGGTACTTCACCTGGAAGATGGCCTCCGCCATCATCCTCTCGCTGCTGATGTTCCAGCGGCCGCTGCCGGAGACGACGATGGACTCGTTGCGGGAGCAGTGCATTCCCAAGAAGAAGAAGAAGCCGCCGCCAGTTAGTGCGCAGAACTCGAGCGCCAGCTCCTGGCGCAACTGGTCCATCTTTCGCTCCAACACCTCAGAGTCGTCCTCCGCCAATGTTCAGACCATCGATGAGACCAGTTCAACTGGTGGTGGTGGTGGTGGTGGTCAGCACTCGGCGGAGAACAGCACCGAGACTCGGTCGCTCAACTCGAGCAACTCCTCCGAGGGGGCGGCGGTGCTTCAGTCAAAGCAGTTGGGGACACCGAGCCACAAGCTGAGCAACAACCTGAACAACAGCCTGGAGTACACCTCCGACGAGGAGACGATGAACATTGTCCTCTCCTCCTCCTCGCACAAAACGTCGGGACCGGGGACCGCTGTAACTTCGACCCCTGGCACCACCACCGCCACCAACAGCACCACAAACTCCTCCACGGAGAGCAGCACTGCGACGAGCACGCCCGGCCACACCAAGAGCAAGGTCCGCTACCGGAAGGTGCTCCGCCTCAAGTCGGACATCGTGCGGTCGCTCAACCTGAAGCGCAACTGCAACGACGTCATGTTCAGCGTCACCACCGCCTTCCAGGGCACCACCGTCTGCCGGAGCAAGATCTTCCTCTGGCGGTGGGACGACAAGGTGGTCATCAGCGACATTGACGGCACCATCACCAAGTCGGACGTCCTCGGCCACATCCTCCCCTACATCGGCAAGGACTGGGCGCAGCTGGGCGTCACGCAGCTGTACAGCAACATCGAAGCGAACAGCTACCGCTTTCTCTACCTCTCGGCGCGGGCGATCGGCCAGGCGAAGACGACGCGGGAGTACCTGCGCGACCTGCGCCAGGACGACATTGGCCTGCCCGACGGGCCGCTGCTCCTCTCGCCGACGTCGCTCTTTTCGGCGCTGCACCGGTTAGTTTTTTAGTGATTTTTTAGTGAGTTTTCGATGTTCTAATTGATCATTTTTTGTTTGTCCATTACCACCATGATTTAGTGAGGTGATTGAGAAGAAGCCCGAGGAGTTCAAGATTGCCTGCCTGAAGGACATTCAGTCGCTCTTTCCGGAGAATCCCTTCTTTGCCGGCTTTGGCAATAAGATCAATGTAAGAGAGAAAGAGAGTTTTGCTTTGCTGTTTTTGATGTGATTACCTTATCCTGCTTCTGTATCCATCCCTAGGACAACTGGGCGTACAAGGCCGTGGGCATCGACTCTTCACGGATCTTCACCATCAACCACAAGGGCGAGCTCAGGCTGGACCGCCTGCTGTCCTTTAAGTCATCGTAAGTGGGGCGGATTGCCAGTTTTAAGTTTTTAGTTGAGTGAATCCTCTTTAATTACTTTCTCATTGTTCGTTACAGGTACACCGACCTGAGTCAGTTTGTCGATCAGATGTTCCCCCCGCTGCAGCAGTCCGCCTACTACGATGGCTACAGCTCCTTCATGTTCTGGCGGCCGGACATTCCCGAGCTGGACG